TCTCAGGTTATGATTATGTTCTTACACCTTTAATATGTCTCAGGTTATGATTATGTTCTTACACCTTTAATATGTCTCAGGTTATGATTATGTTCTTACACCTTTAATATGTCTCAGGTTATGATTATGTTCTGACACCTTTAATATGTCTCAGGTTATGATTATGTTCTTACACCTTTAATATGTCTCAGGTTATTATTATGTTCTTACACCTTTAATATGTCTCAGGTTATGATTATGTTCTTACACCTTTAATATGTCTCAGGTTATGATTATGTTCTGACACCTTTAATATGTCTCAGGTTATGATTATGTTCTGACACCTTTAATATGTCTCAGGTTATGATTATGTTCTTACACCTTTAATATGTCTCAGGTTATGATTATGTTCTGACACCTTTAATATGTCTCAGGTTATGATTATGTTCTTACACCTTTAATATGTCTCAGGTTATGATTATGTTCTTACACCTTTAATATGTCTCAGGTTATGATTATGTTCTTACACCTTTAATATGTCTCAGGTTATGATTATGTTCTTACACCTTTAATATGTCTCAGGTTATGATTATGTTCTTACACCTTTAATATGTCTCAGGTTATGATTATGTTCTTACACCTTTAATATGTCTCAGGTTATGATTATGTTCTTACACCTTTAATATGTCTCAGGTTATGATTATGTTCTTACACCTTTAATATGTCTCAGGTTATGATTATGTTCTTACACCTTTAATATGTCTCAGGTTATGATTATGTTCTTACACCTTTAATATGTCTCAGGTTATGATTATGTTCTTACACCTTTAATATGTCTCAGGTTATGATTATGTTCTTACACCTTTAATATGTCTCAGGTTATGATTATGTTCTTACACCTTTAATATGTCTCAGGTTATGATTATGTTCTTACACCTTTAATATGTCTCAGGTTATGATTATGTTCTTACACCTTTAATATGTCTCAGGTTATGATTATGTTCTTACACCTTTAATATGTCTCAGGTTATGATTATGTTCTTACACCTTTAATATGTCTCAGGTTATGATTATGTTCTTACACCTTTAATATGTCTCAGGTTATGATTATGTTCTTACACCTTTAATATGTCTCAGGTTATGATTATGTTCTTACACCTTTAATATGTCTCAGGTTATGATTATGTTCTTACACCTTTAATATGTCTCAGGTTATGATTATGTTCTGACACCTTTAATATGTCTCAGGTTATGATTATGTTCTTACACCTTTAATATGTCTCAGGTTATGATTATGTTCTGACACCTTTAATGAAGATGTGTGTCACTTTAGTTACTACCAAAACTATGATCGGATGAAATGTATTAAAATTTTGAAAAATCGTGACAACTTTAATAGAAATTACACGTGAAGCTACGTCTCCCATGACGCATATATCATTCGCTTCTCTATTCTATTTATGAGCTGCCACTGTGCGTTTTTAACACTATTTTTGTACATAGCTAAATCTTAAAAGCGACAGTTACAAATGCCGTGACCTCGCACACATAATTTTGTTTTCTTCCTAAACAGTTTACGTTATCGAACAAGTCATATTTTTATTCTCTAGGTTCTAAAGTTTTCTTTGTACCTCAATAAAAAAAATACGAAGTGCATGGTGTTTTCAAATATTATACCTTAATTTTTTTTTCTTTTTATGCGATACTCAGTCAAATAATTCATAGAAGGTGCATAGTATTGAAAATTATGTTGTTAAATACCCTGCTTAAGACTCTATTTATGTAGCATAGCTGGCAGTTTCTCTCGCTCTCAACTATCGTTTTGTTAAATCCTGTGGCCTATTTATCTACCGGTAGCGATTTCTTAAACAGCATGTTCTGCACGTGTCGTTTGAATTTGCTGTTCATGTTATAATAAACCAGGACGTTCGCGGAGCTCTTGACGGCCTCGAAGGTGTGGATCATGCCCCAGACCACCGAGAACACGTTCTGGTACAGACCGTTTATGTTGTACTCTGGTGTCAGAAGGACCATCAAGATAAAATTAACGCCGTACGGACCAACGCAGGCCAGAAACATGCACGATATCAACGTGACGAGCTTGACGACTTTCTTATCTCTCTGCGTCAAACCCGCGAACACGTCCGCCGTGGCCGCCGGGCGCCGCCATTTTGATTTCAGCACCAAGACGCGGACGATAGCGGAAGTGCAGACGATGTCAAGGACGATGCAGCAGATCAGAGACGTGGCGTTGAAGTACAAGCCTACGCTCTCTACGCTAATGCCGTTCTCGCGATAGACTAGACCGAATTTCGTTTTGTTGAATCGGACGTCGTGAACAGGGACGACCTGCCTCGCGAAGAACATCGGGGAGATGCCAGCCGAGACGGACAGCGCGATCAAAACGATGGCTGAGACGGTGCGCCTTTGTGTGAATACAGATTTGGTGCGCAACGGAAACACTAAACAGATGCAGCGCTCGAAGGTGATAAACGTGGTGATCCAGCAAGTGATTCGGGCGCTCACGCCGTGTGGGAGGCCTGAAAGAAAAGCAACGTGTTGGATAAAATGTAGGAAGAAAAGCTAGAATGTGATTTAAATATTGCAAGTTCGTGACGTTCATAGAATGGGACATTGTTAATGAACATAAAACATGTACAACAATGGGGCTCCTAAAACAGTCACACTTGTTAAAATGGCACAAAAGAGGAGTGTCAAGGTTTTAATAATTGATTCGTAAAATAGTCACATTTGTTAACGTGGCACAAGAGATGAGTGTCAAGTTTTAACAACTGTTAAATTATATAGCGCACAGCTGAAGTACAGTGGTTTGGCAATAGTGTTTTGTTATGTTTACTACTAATTCAACATGGATTAAGCATAAAAAGCCTAGAAATTGATCACATAATGTCCAGAGACCCAGCACATAATGCCTATTTTGAGCACATAATGTCCAGAGACCCAGCACATAAGGTCTATTTTGAGCACATAATGCCCAGAGACCCAGCACATAAGGCCCAGAGTTTGAGCACATAATGCCCAGAGTTTGAGTACATAATGTCCAGAGACCCAGCACATAATGCCTAGTTTGAGCACATAATGCCCAGAGTTTGAGCACATAATACCCAGAGTTTGAGTACATAATGTCCAGAGACCCAGCACATAATGCCTAGAGTGAACACATAATGCCCTGAGTTTGAGTACATAACGCCAAGGGTTTGAGAACATAATGCCCAGTATTGAGCACATATTGCCCAAAATAATGAGCACATAAAGCCCAGTATTGAGCACATAATGCCCAGAGAGTGAGCAAGAAGCTCCCAGTAATTGAGCACATAATGCAAAGAGCGTTAACGCATGAAATATCACGGTAAAATATACGATTTTGTTCTCAAACTTTTTGTTTTGTCCTTATCTCAAAATCAGTGACCTAATCACAAATAAAGACAGCAACTTTTAACTTCAGATTGGTTTATTCTTATCTGGCGCCGAGTTAAAATAATTTATTCGTAAAAATTTCGATTTTCTTGTAGCTTGAAAAAATTATTGTTTGCGTGACATGGCAGCTATTAAACCAGAGGAGACGCTCCCTAAAGCTGTGCTTTTATTTAGTTCTAGATTCAATCAAGCTGCACTGAAATGATCAGTTTCACAGAACATTATTTTTTAATATGACTGTTATATTCCATATAAGTCTCCTTTCAAAAAAGAAAAAATAAATTGTTGCGAGCAATCCCTGTCCAAGCCTACAGCTCTCTGGTGTCAGCGCACGTGGAAGTCGACTTATGAGTTAGGGCTCAGCAGCTCCCACGCGATTTTTATACTCGCGCATGCGTATCGGGATCTTTGACAGGGAATGTTCGATACATTTCTTTTCTTCAAAAATATAAATTTGGATTCGAGCTTAAGGGAAGGCCATTTTGATAAGCGTAAATGTATTTTGTATTTGTGTTCGTAAACTTACTTTTGGGGGATATAAAAATTTGTTTGTGCTTTTCATATTGAAATGAGTTGAGTTCAATGTAGAAAAAAAAAAAATTAAATAAAATGCAAATATTTGATAGTTTTATTTAAGTATGCTTTAACTGTATTTTAATTTATTTTAGGTATATGAAACTAAATGTAAGAGAAGATCACGAGAGCTGTGTGATAACAAATTCATAATAAAATATGTTTTTTTTTTTATATGACCTGTTATAAAATGTAAATATTAGCTTTCCTAAACAATTGAAAACAATAATAACAAATTAAACTAACTCACTTCAGTGCACTTCATATTTAAATCAACAAATATATTTATTCACCCAACCTCAAATCCAAGCCAACCATACTACTTGTCAACTTTTTATTTATATAATATTTATAAATATACATCGTTGACGTTCAGAATGGAACTTTCTTAATTAAAATGACGACATATCGTCCAAACGTCCGAACCTGCAGTGTAGTAGAGCAGGTCGCTGGTCACGAACGGGAGGTCAGAGTTGAAAAACATGGGGTTGTAACAAATGCCCTCCCACACCAGGGTCACGACACTGCACAGGTCAGCGATGGCCAGCCCCAGGAAGCTGATGTTCATTGCATCACTAAATCCCTGCACGAAAAGCAAAATTTTGAAATAACTGGACCATTTAACTGAAAAGAAAAATTAACTGTTTTACTTAAAATACTAAGCGTTTTGAAATGTATCGATACTTTGTACGAGTGGTACGCTCTACAATGATTTATTTTGGTCTCAAAAATTTCAATCGAATTAAAAAAAACAACTTTTTAAAAACAAGTATTTAAAATAAGTTATAAGATAGGCCGAATCTGTAAAAAGCAGTTAAGGATAAAAAAAACACCATTTTATTATTTTCAAATAGTAATCGTATCAATAGGTAAAGCTCGAAGTATTGGAGGTTGATTTTATTGACCTGCGTGATTATCGATTAGATCCAATGTGCTCTTGAATAGTTTTTTTTTTTTAAACTAGTATTATTTTTTAAATTACTTTTTAAAAACTTTAATTAAATATCTAAGCAACACTTGGGTAAAACCCTTAAGAGAAATACCGACCAAAGAGACGCAGTTAAAGTACCGATCAATTCCATTCTCACCTGTTTGACGAATACGACGATGTTGATAATATTCGCGGCAGAGCCAAGTACGCCTATCACACAGGTGAAGAACACAGAATAAAATATCTCGATACTGTGACGCAGCGAGTCACTGACGGGTTGGTACACCTGACCAGCGTCCACGACGGCGTGGGGAGTAAGGGGACAAGTGGTCCCATTCATGATGGTCATTTCTGAACTGTCCATGTCGGTCAATGCATTGGGGTGATTGACATGATAACGAGATTCCGTTTTCTTTTAGTAAATCATCGCAGAGCAATGTAGCATTATAGAATCAATATTTTTGCTATATTATAAGGGTTCAAACTAAATATTTTTATATAGCCTTTGGGTATTACTCAAACACCAGACAATGATCGCTGGAGAATATGAAAATCAATTTTTATTGGCTACTTTTCCACAAGTGTTCTCAAATCTTTGAAAATGTTACGTTATCTATAAATTTCGAGGAATCGAAACTGAAAGTGGCAAATAGTTTGTTTTTTTTTTCCTTATCCACATATTCTTAAACACTCGAAATTTCTTTCATTCAACGGGTTGTCAGAATTCTAGGAAATCACATAGTCACCTAAATATGTAAAAATCCATTCAAACATAATCAGGGTTTTTTCGGATCATGATACCTGTGCAAGGTTTTCCCATACTTTGTTTCACTCATTTCCTTTTTTTTTCTTACCTGATTGCAGTCTCCCCCCCCCCCTTATTACCATCTTCTTCGTCTCATCGTTTTAATCTCGTCCGTGGGCTGTTTCGTCATTACTCAACTACTGTTTCCATCTTGACGTTCTGATCAACGCGTACATGACCGTCATCGGTTTCATTTTATCTGTATACATTTTGAGACCCAGTGGCGCCAATTCTGATAATAAACTGAGACCTTGCCAGTTTTTTTTTTAAGTTGTAAGCCATTCAGATGTATTATGTCTAATTATAACCTGGTATAAACATCACATGATATTACAAAATTGCGCCGAGCGCATGACTATCAGCCGGAAAATTACTAGTAATAGCGGGATGAGAAAATTCCGGTACGTAAGTGATTCTCAAGTTTACTATATGTCCACACCAACGCTACATTTATAAAACTATTAAGCGAAATGTCTACTTTAACGTGTAAATTATTCCCCGACATTTTTTTCATCTCCTTTGAGAAGCCCTGTAATCTTTGGGGAGAACTCATTTTACTTTTTTTTTTAAAATAAAAAAAATTGCAAAGACTTCCTTGTTTTCAAGCCGCTTGAATCACTGGGCAAATATGCAGTCGGACGTCAGAAGTCTTCTGCTACACCATAGCATCGTAACACAGGGAGAATGTATAGCATCATAGTGGGGTGTTTTTATCACCATGGTGAGAAGGTGAATTTTCACATCTGAAGTTGTTATGAGAAGTGATTTGTGTGAGGGGCTGGAGGAGGGGCTGTTTTGTTACACGTGACAGAATGAACTGTGAACTGAATGTTACAATCATCTGGTTACACTTTTGAGTATGAACCGGTTAAAGTACGTTACCATGATCCGATTATAGAATGTTACCATGGCCTGCTTAGAAAATGTTATCATGACCTGATTAGAGAATGTTACCGTGACCTGTAACAGTATCTTACTATGACCCAGTTAAAGGGTAGCAATCATGACATGGTTAGAGAATGTTACCATGACCTGGTTAGAGTATATAACCACATAACCAAAGACAACTGTCAATATTCCATAACAAACAATGTTTAGAGCATTGACATCCTAACAAACAATGTTAACACTATTGACATCATAAAAAACTATGTTAACATCTCTGACACCATAGCATACAATGTTAACATAATTGGCATAACTAACAATGTTAACGTCACTGCCATCATACAAACAATTTTAATATCACTGAAATAATAAAAACAATGTTAACATAATTGACATCATGACAATGTTAACATGACTGACATCATAACAAGCAATGTTAACATCACTGAATCATAACAAACAAAGTTAACATCACTAACATCATGACCAAAAATGTTAACATCATTGACATCATGACAATGTTGACATGACTGACATCATAACAAGCAATGTTTACATCACTGAATCATAAAAAATAATATTAAAATCATTGACATCATAACAAACAATGTTAACATGACTGACATCATAACAAGCAATGTTTACATCACTGACATCATAACAAACCATGTTAACATAATTGACGTCATAACAAGCAATTTTAACATCACTGACATCATAACAAACAATGTTAACATCACTGATATCATAACAATGTTAACATGACTGACATCATAACAAGCTATGTTAAAATGAATAACATCACTGTGCTCTGCAAGCTCTACAACTTGTCCTATGAAGTAATGTGTTGATGTTTTATAACAACGAACTGTGACATAAGTGAGCCGAGACTCATAAAAACGAAACGTTTTCGCCTGGCTTTGACTTGTTTTAAACGGAAACTTTTTGTTCTTCTGAGCATTGATTCTCAAATTATTTTGGTCAGGTACCAAAGATCTAGAATATAAAATGAGATTTTTTTTCAAATGCATCCTTGTCTTGTGGAGACTTTGTTGTCAGACATCAGAATGAGAAGTGGAAAGCAAGTACAATCTTAGCTAAAACTTTTATTTTTTTCTTGAATTCATGCCCTTCCTATCTAACCGAACTTCTTTCTGTCTATTCACCCCTTCGACAGCTTCCCTCATCCGCAGACGCGCGTATTCTTCATGTCCCAAAGTCTAGCAGAAAAACATACGGTAAAGGATCTTTCTCTTTCTGTGCCCCTCAAAAATGGAATTCTCTTCCACTACACATCCTCAATATACCGACCATCACATCCTTCAAAACTGCACTCAAAACACAACTCTTTAAACTCTACAATCCTGACTGATTCACCCCTCTGACCGATAAACGCTGCTGCTGGGTGCCGTCCATGGTTTCGACGTGTAAATAGTTAATGGAATGGGTGGAGTGAATAGACATTTGTTTTGTTTTACTTATATAATGCATGTTAATTTTGAAGCTCATGATTATGTTTGTTAAATCGTCTGTACAGCGTGGTGAGCCCAGCCCTAGGCTGGATGTACAGCGTTGTGAGCCTAGCCCTAGGCTGGATGTACCGCGTTGTGAGCCTAGTCCTAGGCTGGATGTACAGCGTTGTGAGCCCAGTCCTAGGCTGGATGTACAGCGTGGTGAGCCCAGTCCTAGGCTGGATGTACAGCGTTGTGAGCCTAGCCCTAGGCTGGATGTACCGCGTGGTGAGCCCAGCCCTAGGCTGGATGTACAGCGTTGTGAGCCCAGTCCTAGGCTGGATGTACAGCGTGGTGAGCCCAGTCCTAGGCTGGATGTACAGCGTGGTGAGCCCAGTCCTAGGCTGGATGTACAGCGTGGTGAGCCCAGTCCTAGGCTGGATGTACAGCGTTGTGAGCCCAGCCCTAGGCTGGATGTACAGCGTGGTGAGCCCAGCCCTAGGCTGGATGTCCAGCGTTGTGAGCCTAGTCCTAGGCTGGATGTACAGCGTTGTGAGCCCAGTCCTAGGCTGGATGTACAGCGTGGTGAGCCCAGTCCTAGGCTGGATGTACAGCGTGGTGAGCCCAGTCCTAGGCTGGATGTACAGCGTGGTGAGCC